TTTAGGGGTTGGGGCTTAAGGTTTAGGGGTTGGGGTTTAGGGTTTACGGTTCAGGGTTAAGGGTTTAGGGGTTTGGGTTTTAAGGTTTAGGGGTTGGGGTTCAGGGTTAAGGTTTGGGTTTTTTTGGGTTTAACGTTTAGGGCTTTTAGGGTTTAAGGTTTAGGGTTTAGGGTTTAGGTTTAGGGTTTGGGGGTTTGGGTTTACGGTCCTATAGTGTCTACCGATAATATTGTCGATGCAGAGGTTTCACACATTTAGAACACGTTTACTGATGCATTCCATGCTTGTGCGGGAGAATAACCCTTTGTGAAACAATGGGTGTGCTGTCTAACAAAACTTCGGGTCTGCTCATTCGGCTCGTTGGTGTTTGTATATCACTGTTGTTCACATAAGCACCAGTAACCCGTAGGCCTATAAGCCTTACGACGTGACACCTGCCATCACGTCTATAATAGTTTGTGCTCAGTTTCTTCTGCCCCACACTTGACCTTGATCTTCAACCAAACGGATTGTTGAAGACTGTAGTCTCTCAAGCTTTCAAACCCCTTATAGGCCCCAATCCCTAAAACCTGGACACAGGATCCCAAACTTAGCCTTGTAAAGCCTACTCGAAGGATCAGGGGACATAGCAAGCAGGTTTATTTAAGCGACTTTTTTAATGGGAGTAAAGGTAAATCTGGCTTTGGCTACCAGGTTCCAGCCCTACTTAGTCGGAGATCTGATCTATTCCTAGGCAGTCTTAGGGAGACGCCTGGAAGGGCACCCTTCTGGACCCTACTTCTGGCTCTCTTAAAAGGGAGCTTGTTGAGAGGGTCTATTTCCCGAAGGGTCCCCGAAACCCTAAACCGTAATCCTAACTCCTATCTGTAAGTCTACAAGCATACATCCTAACACTTGCAAACTGCCAAAGTCCCTGTAGCTAGTCCCCCGTATAGAAACCTGCATAACTAGGTTCCTGAGTAGTACCCTTTTGTCCTTTTTTTATTGTATGGCTCCCTTCTTAAATCGGAATAACAGGAAAAAGGGTAGCCTTATTATTACGGGGTCGCTCAGGAACCTAGATTATGGTATCCCCCAGCCTGTATAGAACCCCTTAGTTCCCAGCCTGTCAACTTCGGTTGCCCTACAGGCCCTACAGCAAGCCCCAAAGAGTTGGCATCCTGATTAAGGACAAACAGTGCTGGGACTCCCTATACATTACTCTTAAGGATTGAGGCTATTGGATTTCCAAAAAGCTTCTACCATAACTCCCCCAAGGCCCTAAACCCTACCTGAACCCCAAACATCCTACGCTGCTTAAGGACTTTTACAGGAAATCATAACAAGGAACTCCAAAAATGTACTTGTCTTGGGGTTCAGGTAAACCTACATAATCTCCTAAACCCTAGACCCCTAAAATCCGAAAATGAAACCCTAAACCCGAAAATGAACCTTATAAATCCTAAAATGAAACCCTCAAAGTTCCGAAGATGAACCTGGTTCGGAGGCGTCGAGGAGCTGCCACCACTCCATGTCTCGGTTCGGAGTGTGGGCCTTGGAAACTCGAGCCGGAGCAGGGCTTACCTGGACCCTTAAGAACCTACCTTTTTAGGGCTCCTTATTATGATTTCCTTAAAAAGGTAGGTTCTTTGGGGTCTAGGTAGGGCTTATGACAAAGTAACCCCCCCCCCCTATCATGGAAGATAGTTTGTTTGGGCGGTTATAGAATTCAATAGGTAATCGTTTCGCCTAGTGCTTGGAGTTTGGGGTTTGGGGGTGTAGTATCCTCGGTTTGGGGTACTTCGGGCGAAGCGAAACCAGGAGTCGGGTACGGAACCTTGAATTTGAGGTCCGGTTCTTCGTGAAATAGGAGTACCTGACCCCAGCTACCCTCCAGCAAGCGTTATAAATCCTAACCGCTTGCCATTGGGACCATCCATCACCAAAGCCTAATGTACTAAATATCCGTGCAGCAAGGCCGTACAAAAACAGCACCATAATTTACTCCAGGGTGTTTGGGATGTTCGACCGGGGGAACTGAGAAATTGAATCAGGATATGTCCTGAGAAAATCAGGACATGTCCTGAGAAATCCGCCTCTTGGACTTGTGTTCGTTTTGTTTAGGGGTATTAGGGTTCAGGGGTTTAGGGTTTAGGGTTTAGGGGTTTAGGGTTTAGTGGTTTAGGGTTTAGGAGTTTAGGTTTTAGGGTTTAGGGGTTGTTTGTTTGTTGTATAGGGCTTGGGCTTCGGATTCAGGGTTTAGATTTCAGGGTGAGGGCTTGGAGTTGAGGGCCCACCTCTTCCAAAATAGGCTCAATTGGATGCTGTATCCGTAATTTTGGTGGGATCCCTTCTCTGATTTAAGGATGAAGGCTTCATTCGGTTATGTGCGTAAGTGACAGAACTAAAGTGGGATCCCTGATCTTATTTAAGAGTCATGCTTCATTGAGGTTTGTTGGAAGATCTGGGATGATCTGGGTTACTCGGAATGCTTGCCAGTTGCGCTGTCGGAGCCACAACGCCCTCGACCACGAACTCTTCACCGCTGAAAGCTCATGTTTCGAGGTCTTGTAGTTTACATACACACCTGTTAAAATATACAGATCTTCGATTCGTGAGTGTGTGTGTGTGCTGCATAGTAATATCAGGGACTGCGTGGGCGGTGGGTGCCTGGTTTGTCGGTTTGATCTCTTGCAGTCTTGAAGCAGCAGCCTGAAACTATGCGAACTCCAAATGTGCAAGCTCCAACATCTGAAAGCCCCTCCTAGATTAGGTGCATCCGGGGTGACGCGGATCGAGATCAGAGACGAAAGGCCATTAGCAAGTTTGGAAGTCGGGCTGATGATGATTTAGGGATTTAGTGTTTAAGTTTCTTCGACGGATGCAGTAAGTGTCCGCCTGTAGTCTTTTGCTTTTCTGAACCTGCAACACCTGGGGACTTCCGAAAACAACGCCAAGAGATAATTACAGCAATTCCATATTGATCTAAAGGCCCGAACGGGCAAAAGCACAATCGAACGGGTATTACAGCAATTGCGGATCGGGGAGTCGTTTCTGCCTGGATTGATTTTTGGTGGTCAAAGTAAGAGATCGCATGATTGTCGAAGCTCATCAGCTACTCGAGTAGTTCTTCGCGCATTGAATGGTTTTGCATAACTTGTTAAGTCATCATCCCGGCACAATCTTCCCATCACCCTATGATGTCTAAGTAGATTCCCAAACCCTATACAGAAGCCCTTTGAATTAAATGAAAGATCGCCCTGCATCCACCTCTTCCTCGGCACTTTTCCGGCCGTGCGCTCAGTCGGCTTCCTGCAAGTGCCAGACTTCCTGAAGCTGCAGCAAATACCGCTGCAAAGTTCGCGTGCATACACCGCGAGGGCTGGAAGACCGAGCCAACCTTGCAACCCGTCCCACATGATCTTCGTCCATTGCACACGACTCCACTATGGGGTTCATGGCGAATGTTGCTGTATCGAACTGCCATGCCAAATGCTTCACTATATGAAACAGCATATGAAATTTGGGTGTTGTGGAGAATCGGCTTTCACCCATGTCGAAACTGAGCTTCGCCACCCGAGCTGATGCAGCGAGGAAATGTTCACCAGCAGAAATCACATCAGCACACCGAGTGCCAGTTAGCCAAAAATCACTGCAGTAGAGGAGTTTCATGAAAGCATTGAGCGCTCTGGTCCCACTTGCCTCAAATGGTTGGTTGCCAATGAGTTCATGGAAGCCACGAGAACAAGTCTTACACAAACTATGCACACACATTATGCTTGTCTCTGAGTAGGAACAAGAAGTTTGAGTCGCTCGTCTCGGGACTGTTCTAGGTTCTTTTTTTGGCAATACGCATCTACGAACTGCAGGATCGTAACTGTCAAGGCCCCCTTCGTCCAAGACCCTTCAAGAGTTGTGTCGATCGCTTTCCAGCCCAGGATAGACTTTGAGAAAGCCCGAATGTAGGATACCTTGGGAGGGTCCTTAGACCAGTATGCGGTCTGTCACGAAATACCGTATTGTTTCAAGGAGTCTCCACACAGAAACCCCAGAACTCTCTATATTGTACGAGCTGAGCAACTGATGTCTTGCAGAAGTCGACGTATGCAATGCTCAGTTGCTGCAATCGTTGATCCAAACACCCTTCGACAAAGAAGTTCTCGAGAAGCAAAACCAGCGCTGAAGCACCCCAGCTCTTGCCCACACCTAAATTTACAGCGTGCCATGGGTCGGCACGATAGAAATGGGCCAAATGCTCGGTGTGTTGCAGGAGACTTGTCGTAAAGACTGAAGGGGTTGTCCACGGTAGTTCCTCCTCCATGGTGTCCATAAAATCCGGCCAGGCCGACCTTTGATTGAACTGCTCCCAAATTACAGCCGAAGAGCGGTAGTCTTTATAAGATGCCAATTTCAAAAAGCTTAAGACATGAACGTGCAGCTGAAAATCATATCTTCCCAATCATATCCTTCCCTTCCTGCCAAACAATAATGGCATAGGCCCTTGCCCGGTTTGGAAGATGAGGCCGCCTTGGGACCCTGGCGGAATGTCCGCTGCAGCTTTCCAGCCGTAGCCTTGGATTCGGACTGGGATTGCTGCAGGTTCGGGTTATGTAAGGCTAGGGCTAGGCTTACAGGGCTTCTACAGGGCTTACAAGGCTTATAAAACGAGGCTTGATTAGGAGGGTTGCTGCAATGTATGTAGGCTGATTGGGATTTGGCCTTGCGCTATACTTGCCGGGGAAGCAATATAACTGATGACAGGGTTCCAGGAAGGGCCAGTCGCCCTTGATCCCGATGGGGTTGAGCCATAAGGGACGCCCATCCCTAAGCATAACCCCCTCGAGCTGCGCAGACCGGAGGTCCTCCACGATATGTGCAAAGAACTGGTCCAGCACCTCCGGGGTCTGGGCGTAGTCCTCCTGGGATAGAGTTGTCAAGGCACTTGTAAACACTTTATGTGACTCGGTAAAGACACTTCTTACAATAGGAAGGTCCTTGGGGAGAACGCCCAGAAGGAAACGGGTTGTGAAAGTAACTCCTCGCTGATTAACAAAAGCTTTGGCGTTGCTTTCGCCCAGCAAGCGATCAGCAAAAGCTTCCCGGCCCAGCAAGCTCGTACCCTTTCCAAATACGGACTGCCATTGCACTATCATTATCCCCGACCTCTTGTAATGCGTACCTTCATCGCCATGAATGAGGCATGGCAGGCACCGGTTTAAGTCAACCTCATTACGATCTGCTCTCGTAAAGAGCTCGTAGTCAGGGAAGATGATTCTGTAGCGAGCCCAGAAATCGGCCATCATTTGGCAACCGACAGAAAAGCTGCTTTGCCCGATAAGCCTAGTCCAGAAGTGCTGCTCATCGATGAGATGTATGAAGTCAGTAGCTCGAATCATTGGATAATCAACAGAAGCCTCCGGTATCTCTTTCAGAGGCTCTGCCACCAACGTGCAGCATCTCGCCTTCGCCTTGGCCCTGGATTTGGATTCAGCCTTCTTCCGTTTCGGTTTGACCCTTCGAGCATGTCTGAGGATCGTGAAATAGCGTATCGGAAGCTGTAGTCGCAACCCAGTTTTTCCAGCCACACGATGAACATTCTCTTCCTAAGTGTTGTAGGGGCTTGGGTTTGGGTTACCAATCTTACACAAACCAATCCAGTTTTAAGCCGTACATGGCGAAAGTTAATCAATCAAATAGAAGCCACGGCTTTGCTTTCAGAGGTTCTGCTCAGTTTTGAGAGAACGGGGCAGCTCAGCGCATCCGAACCGAAATCCTCAACCACTCTCTTCGAGGTGGCTACAGCTTTCTTCGCATGGCCACCGCGACCAACATCAGCGAGGAGCGATCGCGCAGTCGAAGACACACCTGGCAGTATTGAGGGGTCGTTGCTTGGGTTTGTGCATATGCCTGTAACGGTGTGGGTGCTTTCTCGAAAATGAAGAGACACGGTCATGGCCAAGAGGTTTTTTGGGACCTAATATAGCTCGTATCTTCGGAGTCATGGGTTTAGTCATTTTGGAAGGAGGTTGCACCTGATGTTATTGATAACATATAGCTGAAAGTCGGGAAGACTTGACTTTTCTCGGTACCGCCATTCAAGACTCCCCAAGTCAATGCACGTAGCCTGCGTCGCACGACACATCGGCCGGATAACATCACTTGGATAATTCAGAGGGCGCACTCACGTGTCTGTTCACATGCAGCGCTGAGCGAAAGAAAGATGCACAGAAGCATCGTCGACTACCCCGGATGGCTGCTACAGTGGAAAGCACCATGCACAAACCTGATCAATATGTTTGCTAGCCTAGGAATTGCAAGATTTGTTCATTAAGATAGCACATCCATCCATCATCAGGGCTTGCCCTTGCGACGAACCCGCCTTTGCGGGGTCACGGATGCTTCTGCTTCTGCAGCAGCCTTGTTAGCTCTTCGCAACCGCTTGCCCTTCGGGGCAGCCGGTTTAGCCTTGGCATCTTCAGAGCTTTTGCGAGCCACATTGATGTGCTTGAGCAAGGTCCTCGGGTTTTGGCGACACCGCGTAGTTTTGTATAGTAGCCTTGTGCACTTTCGTGTGTGTGTGTGTGCATATATATATATACACATGTGTGTGTACATGACTGCATGTACATCTAGACAACTATGTTGCTATCTTGCCTTCACGACGTAGATCGTTCTACACGGATAGAAATCCCCTCTATAGCACACGGCTCAACTAGAAATGCAGTTGGTATCAGGCCCCACATAGGTTGCTAGGTGTGTAAACTTACATGCATAACATGACATGCCTGCCATGCTCGTGTGGCGTTGATGGTCTTCGTGGCCTGCGTACTATGATTGGGCGGATTTGTGTGTACACGCATAGTTTGCCGCTTTTGTGTACGATAGGTGAGCTGGGGATAAAGATCCAAGATGCTTGAACCGGCTCTCTTTGCCAACCAGTTCGGCACACCTAAGATTCCCACTATACCTTTACACACCAGAGACAGGCAGTCGAGTAATTCGGATGCACCCAAGACACGGCTTTGAAACAGCCTCCCGCAAAGCAACGAAGTCCAGCTTTGCCCTCGGAAAATTGCAGCCAACTTGCACAAGTCCCCAAACGACATTGGTAGTTGTATGCCAGTGAAACTAAAACGCCGAAGGAACTTTTGGATCCCCGTGTCATCCACGTCCTCCATCCCCAAAGACCCGAGTAGGCAAGCAAGCTTGCCGTGCTGCACCTCGAGCTCCTTCCTGACTGCCTCAAGCTCATCGTGAAGCCTCGGATCTCAGATTCACAGGAATAGGAGCACAGTGCAGATCATGCTGGAGCTTGCTGCTTACTTGCCGTTTGGGAACATTCCGGTTTGCTCGTTGGGATCGGGGTTGTACGGTGGCACAAGCTGGCCCATCATTTTGACAATGGAATCGATTTTACCATTAACCTGCGTCAGGTAGCGGTTGATCTCAGACTTGACCTGCGTGTGCAGTCACATAGGGCATATGGCGCTCATAGTTTGGTGTATAGGGTTGACGGATTTAGGGGCTTGTGGGCTTAGTCATCTATCTGCCTAGCTAACGAAGTAACAGACCGCCCGCCCGCTCCCCGGGCACACAGACACAAACACACAGACACAGGCAAACACACCTTGGCAACATCACCACTTGCCGACTGCTCTGCTGCAGCAGCGCCCTCCATGTCCAGGCCGAGAGGAGCATCGAAGTCCTTGAGCGCAAGGTGCCCGGTCGATTCGCCGGCCTGTCGTGGCTTTCGGAGGGTACTTGTATAAAGATTTTGTATAAGAAGGTTTGTTTTTAGTGCAAAGGAGTCAGTTTAATGGATTTGGGGTTATCCAATAAAGAGGCCTCCTCGGTAGCACGGGTTTGCTTGTCCAAATCGGAACGTCGTATCTTCGATGTCTCCTCCGTCTCCACGAAGTACTCACTGACTGAAGTGTTATACTTCCAAGGACTTAGTTTGGCCGAGGTTATCGACATCACACTAACCGACATGTCCCAAAGAAAAAGCATCTATCGCCGTGCCACCGAACGAGTGTGTTCGGAAATCGCTTGCAATAGCTCATCACCTGCTGTATGTCCGACCTTAGCTGCAGGTTTTTGTTTGGAGATGAGGTTCATGTTATTGCACACATGCATTCCCCGCAAGACGAGCCGAATAGCTTGGGCCACTTGAGCTCGCTTTTCATTCTTTCCTGTGTTAACCAGCGGCCGGTTATCTCTTGCTCTTTGGCCACCATCCTTTCTTTCACGTGGGTGACCCTTGTCAAGAAAGTGGCCTGGCGGATGACAGTCCAACATTATTGAAGAAAGTACACATGTGCATCGACCCCTGCCTTCATCTTCGCGTGGATCTTGCAGTCCTCCTCCCCCAACTGCTTGATACACTCTAGGAGTGCCAATTCTAGCACTTCGCGATATTCTCCGCCAGACTCGAACTCTTCGCGGATGGCGTCCGGGACCCAACACCGTCCCGACTTTTTTTTCCTCGCATAGCCGTTTGAGTCGCATACGGAGTGCATCGTGCGAGATTACCTGGTTCATCTATTATACATGAAGACTTAGCCCACGTACCAAAAACAATACAGTGTAGTGGCAGGGGTGCCGTCCGGAGTGATAATGGCCGCGCTGCTGTCGTCATCGGCATTTGCTTCCTTTCCTTGCTTGTTTGCAGTGTCCTTCTCGGGGCTTGCCTTTTTAGTTGGACTCCTCTTCGGAGCTGCGGCAGCTTTCGGGGCTTTGGCTGGGCTTGGCTTGGACGGTTCCGGGGCCGGGGTTCCGTTTGTTGCGGCACGTGTAGCAGGTGGCACGGTATTGCTGGCATTGCCGGCTGCTGCAGCAACTGATTGTTGTGTCAATTGTGCTAACAGCAGACTTTGCGCTTGCATGGCTTCCTGCATTTGCTGCAGCTGAAGTTTCATGAAGATCTCCGACTCCGAAGGGGGGCCTGCTTGTGGCCGTCTGGGCTTGTCTGCGCTTGGGGTGAGGCTCGGACACTGCGGATGGCGGGTTGGAGGGGTGACGGTGAGTCGTCCAGGTGAAGGTGTGGCCACCTCTTCAAACGCAGCTGACAGCCTTTTCCGCAGCGTATCATCAGCAGCCTAGGTCGTACCCAAGCTTATTAGATTGTCTGCGAGCTCCGAAAACGACCGACCATATTATATGTCGCAAGCAAGCTGCTTTGAAGTCACCCACAGCAGGAGACTGATAAGGATCAGCCTCGAGGCAGCAGACCTCGTCGTCGTCTGAGCGCTCATCATTTTGAGTCTCCCCAGCCATGCCGAGGTCACATCCAGCCGAATTCCTGCCTGGAGAAGGCACCTGACATGTGTAAAGCGATCTATACACAGTGGACACCGTGCCTATATGAGTATAAAGATGACACATGCGCATCTTGGCAACCGGGTGACAGCTTCATGTGGCACAGGTAGGGCCACATATGCAGCCTCAGATGTACACAGATGAATGCACGGAGATTGCTAGTTTGAGCATTGTTTGCTGCTGAGTTTGCGGACTAGATTCTGGACTCTCGCGTTTGATCTCGGGGTCGGGCTTGGGCATCTGTTTCAAAGCAGCTTCTGCCTCCTCACCAAAAAAACCCAGAAACCTGCGAAACCCGAACTAAAACACATGGTCTGCCCTGAAGAACATGAGCTTCGGTCCTGTAAACGCTGCATGAGCTGTTCGCGAGACATGTTATTCACAGATCTCATGAGACCGCTCGATGCGGCCAGGAACTCGGCACCAGCTTCAAGCTCCGTGCCACTCCAGGCACGGCTCTGCAGAGTCCTAGCCCTCTCGAAATCAGGGCTGCGATCACACATCACTCTATAGTGAAAAAGCTGATCCTTGAGAGGACCTCGCCGTGTTGTGGTTGCACAACATGCACACATGCATGTTCACAATGGACAGAAGCAGCATGCAACAGCAACCTTTTCGAAGCATCCACCATAAGTTTGCTCAGGAAGCACACCACTCCAGCAGATTTTGGCCCGTAAAGCTAGGACAGAGCAGCCCCAAACTACCAAATCTGCGTTGTAAGGAGCATTCAGGTACCATTCGGAGACGATAGACAAGGCGACCTATGAACGACAGTTGAACACCTATAAGTCGTTCATACGAACGGCTTCGAACGTGGCGCAAACGGGTTATGAACGCTTTAAGAACGGGGTCGGGTTTTGAACGGGTTATGAACGGGTTGCCGGAAAACGCCTCTTGAACGACTGTAGTACGATCACCGAACGACATGAACGCTTACCGAACGGGTACCGAACGGGTCTCAATTACTATACGTATCAGAAAAGCACCCAAAACGGCCCAAAACTGCCCAAAACGGATAACAATAGAAGCAAAACTATCCAAAACCCTATGTTTCTAGGGCTGAATGTGTCTGCTGAAGCAGCCAGAAGCGCAAATTTCAACTGCAGTCTAAACTCTGATCCTTTAGGCTCGCTTCGGAAAAGCTTCTTTCCAGCGAGGTGGAAGGTCCAGAAGCTTCGACCCCCTTAGATAATGCAGCACATCAGACAGTCTTGCCTCCGGCCAGCAGTCCAGGCACTCGTCGGCCGACGCAATCCAGCTGAGGCCACTGAACTCAGGAGGGGGTGGATCGGGCTTGCCTCGTCCTTCGGTCAGTAGAAGAGGTAGCAAATCTCGAACTTCTTTTCCAAAGCGTAGAGGATATGCCCTGAAACAAATTCAAAACATATAGAAATCACTAGAGGGGTTCTGCTTCTATACGATTGATTGCAAACGTACATGAACTCAGTATTGAGGGCTGGGCTGACTGGCTTTGAGATTCCGATTTCCATGCCACGTCTTTTGTCCAGCAGCATTTCTTGATCGCACAACTAGAGCCTTTTTACCCTTCTGGTGTCGTCGGGATAGGCGACCCTTGTCCAAGCGCCGAATGACTGGATTGTTTGACCAGCCTTTGCTGTGTTTCGGAGTTGGGCTGCCGTAGTGTTGCATCCACCAAGCCACGGAAACTGCCTGGGCGCGGAAGTGTGTTCATTCGGTTTGGGTGCAGTTCCATAATTTGGGGCTTACGTTCGTAGATTTGGGCCGGTCCCAGCCCCAGCCCCCAGCCCCAGCAGCAGCAGCAGCAGCAGCACCACCACCACCACCACCACCGTGCAAAAATGAACCAGGCGCGCGCGCGCGCGCGCCTGGTTCTTGAACTCACCTAAGGGGCCTCGGAAATTAGCGCTTTTTTTCTAGCTTTTTCCGGCCTCTGCCCCTACACTACCACTGCGTCCTCAAGCTGCGTCCCGTTTGTCTTCACCAAGGAAACGGGAATCATGACTGAGGTTTTGGTGCGGTGAAAGAAGGTGGGGTTCCCAAACCTCGTGAGCGTCAGTAGGTTGTTTGGGATGGGTTGTGAAGAGGCCGCCCCATGAAACGAGCATCCTGAGCATGGGCAAGCACCATGAGCCGTATAACTCCAAGAGTCACACAGGCCAGACCAAGGCAGAAACACAAAGAGAAACCTCTATGTCAGTTACCCAAATCTCCGGATGTATAGTTCCCCTCTCAAATGAACCCTGTTTGTGACTTCGGGCCATGGAGTACAAAGCTACACAGGCACATCATATAAGCAAAAGCCGGAAGTGATCTAGGTCTGTATCGGACCAGATTATTTTTTACTACAGGTTATAGGCGTTTGGGCAGATTATGCTGGAATCCAAGCAGCACGGGTTTCTGTTAAGAACCGATCCATGCGTGGGTAGAAGGCTAGAAGGCTGCTGCCCGGTTGTTCAACGAACCAGGTTCCTCCTCTCGCCAGCGTGAGCTTCATCAATAGCACAGTCCTGGGATCCAAAGGCAAGGGACGATGCTCGGGCTGGGGCTTATATGGGATTGTGTTCCTTGCAGTCTGGTGTCCGGGATGCCATTCGGTTTGCCCGTCTCACATATGTGCGGCTGCAGTCGCCGCAAGGATTGATTTTGGATCTCTTCGATGTGCCCAAGTTTGTGATGACCCAGGATGAGCATACTATACCAAACAGCACCATGAAATGATCCTCTGCTGCTTGTAGCAGCAGCCAGCAGGCTAGCCTTACATGCGGGGCGATGACAGGCTCACGTAGACAAAGCTGCCACACAACACACACAGACACAAACACAAGCTCTCGAGATCGTTAAGGTTCCAACCCAAAGCCCTCTGGGGTCAGGATGTCGAATGCATTTCCCTTTACATCTGCACCCTGCAAGTACTCGATGTCCACAGCACAGGCAGGATAGCCCGCAGCCGAAATCATTCGATATACATTGGCCTGCCCCGCGAAGAACTCCAGGTATCGAGGCTCCTGCACACGGGCGACTTGCCTAATCGGTTTGGGGCCGTGGGGCGACTCTATACATAGACGGTTGAAAGCCCATGAAACCTGAACCACCCGCCTTAAACCCAAATCCGTGTAAAACCCACCATTCTCAAAGCCCTGAAAAGAGGTTATAACCTCTTTTCAGGGCTTTGTATAGAAATTTATTGTATATGACGCTGACCCCGATAGACCCTGCAAGAACCGACACGGAAGTCTTTGCCAGCCGGACAGGTCCCAGCCAAACTTGCAATCGGAGCAGAATGAGGACAGTCGTAAACGTACGTGTGTGTGTGTGTCTCTCGGTGTGTATGTGTGTGTGTACGTGTGTGTGTGTGTGTCTCTCTGTGTGTTTGTGTGTGTGTGTTTGTGTGTGTGTGTGTGGGTGCGTGTGTGTGTGTGTGTTGGTTGGTGTGCGTGTGTGTGTGTGTGTGCGTGTGTGTGTGTGCGGAAAAGAATTGAACTGGATCCAGCAGCTTGGCAATCAGAGCGTGCGGTAACAAGTGGGTCCTCACTGAACTTGCCGAGGTCAGTGTAGAATGCGAGGATAACACACAATACGAAGGCCTCATTTCAGGCAGGGGTAATTATATAGATGCCAGATTCGGAAGAAAAATTTGTGGCTACTTCAGCAAAAGGCTCTCGGGGGCACCGCAGTTGGTGCAAGCGCCAGATCAACTCATCAAGATATGCCATGGCGGGTATAGGGAAGAACCGCACACACACACAAACATATACACACACACACACAAAGAAACCTACGTTGTATAAGTGCGCAAGAAGCTTCCCACACACTGTGACAGCTCTTTAGGACTCCTTATATGCCCTTGAAATAGGAAGTTTGCAACGATCCCAGGGCAGGGTAGCATGGGAAAGTTGAAGGGGCATACAATCTAAGTACGATTCTAAACTTTAAACTATATTAACCATATATATATATAACCCACCCCGACGAAGGAACCTGATCGCATGCGATTTTCTACAGCTGCTAACATGCCCCGGCTGCAGGATTAATCGACAGCACCGGCGATGATGCTCACCAGCGGGCATGCTTCCTATGAAGGGCCTACATAGGGTAGGGTTGTAAAAAGCTCATATAGCAGCTATATGGGACTTGCTTCCCGAGGCTTCGTACTTTAGGAAAGCATAAACAGCTTCGACTGCTGGCTTCGCGGGACCTTCATTAATCAATCCGTTTCACCGCTTTTATTCCCGAACCCTAACCACCGCTATTGACCAAAGTACTTGTATGCTCAGCGATCAAGGCAGGCTTCACTAGGAGGGGGTAGACAGTTCAAGGTGAATTTCGCCTAAGGTTGTGGTCTTCGGGCTTGGTTGAAATGCCCAAGATCTCACGGGGTTGCAACCATTATACATATGTAAGTGTGTCTTTTAAGCCCCAAATCCGTCCCCGAATAATCGCGGCAGCTCAACGGGTGGGCTTGAAGAGCCCCAAGCGAGCGCCCAGCCGTCTTCCACGTAGACCTGCGCAGAGGGGTGTTGGTGGCTGTCATTTAGAGTGCATCGGTGTGGAATCCAAAGGGCTGCAAACTATTATCGTAATCTGTGTCGCTCCTCAGTGCAGCGTATTCACAAAAGGCACGGCCGGATCAGATTTTGTGGCACACACTCACTGCAGCAGAAGTCCCAAAAAGGATGCTTGCCGTGGCTATGCCCCACAGCTCTGAATACAGCCTCGTCTTTAAACAAAGGCATCGGGTAGATGTGCAGACTGATTGAGATCCAACCCATTTGTTGGAAAGCCCCAGTTCCCCTATCCCGCAAACAGAAGCCTGCAGGTTGCCAGAAAGCCCCTTGAAGCATCAGCTGGCCAGGCCAGTCTGGCAGCAAACAGAATTATTTAAGCTATGCTACACGTGCCTGGCCGTCAACTGATTCACTTCAACAATAGCATTGCTATGTGAAATCATGGTCTGCGCTTACATCTCATTCACCACGGCATTGTTCACATCCATGAGCATAGCCTTGAAATCACCGACGGTCCTCTTCTCGACAACGGAGCTGTTCCCGGCTTTGCGGCTCTTCCAAATGGCCATTCCCTCAGTTTGATGCCCGGCACACGAACGCAGAAACATCACACAAGAAGCAAGCATAAAGCACACAGCACACACATTTCGGATCAAGCGTCGATCTGCTTGCAATACCAAACCCTCGAGCACATACACTCCGTAGGAGTCCACTGCGAGAAGTAATGCAGCTGCTTCCAAGCCTTGCAACCACTCTGTCCCACAGCCTGAACCTTGAGGCCGCATTGCTCCTTGGTCCAGTAATAGGATGCACGGCAAGGGGCCTCAGACTCGAATTGATGGATCTGCAAATGCTCACCAGCAACGCAAGACTCGAAGAGGTCTTTCAAGGCCGCCGTGGCCTCGGCTTCATCAGCCACCGGCTCCTCGTAACCCATGGTTGGCAGCCTGATCCTCGCGGCCTTCTGCTTCGAATCGTCCTCCAAGGCTGCCTTGTCCTTCACCGGGGCGGCGGCTTCCGTACCCTTGGGCTTGCGTGCACTCTTGGCCTTGGCTTTTGCCTTGGGCACAGCAGCCGGAGGATTGCTAGACGCAGGCTCGGCGGACTCATCCTCTGCCACGGTTGCTTTCTTGCCCTTCTTGACCGCCTTGGTCTTCTTAGGCTTCGTGCTCTTCTTGGGCGTGGGCTCAGCGGCTGCGCTAGCCTTGCCCTTCCCACGCTTGGGTTTTCGGGTCTTCTTGCTCTTGCGACGAGAGCGGGCAGGATCACTCGGAAGAGCATCGCGGAGATCCTTGGTGTCCTTGGCCTCGGCCGAAGGATCCGCAGTAACCAAACCGTCCCGCAGCTTGAACTGGTCACGCCTCGTGACATATCCAGCCTCTACCGGGGGAAAGGGCTTCACACGCTCCGGCTTAAGAGCTGGTACAGTGTTGGGCTCATCATCTTCCTCCCAAAGCTGGGTCTCGTCATTGTCGAGGCAGCGGCAGGGGGGAGCCGTCGCGAGGGGCTCAACAGTGCCACCTGAAGGATTCATCGCAGGACATCGTCAGGGTTAACCCCGGGGCTTTGTTCACACAAAGCAATCTCCACAGGACATCGGGGTTTGGACTGAACTCGGGCGCATAGCATAATGGCATAGATGGTTCAGGATGTATAAACAGTTTGGGCCATTAGATTTTGCCAGTGGTATAGTAACGTAGTATGCCTCCAGTCGTTTCCATCGCACGCAGGCGTGCCAAACGGAGTGCATTTCCACGTGAAAACGACCCCTTGAGGTCCATCATCCTGCCGGGACCATGTTTGTCTGGATTGAACCCTGTTACAACCAAAGCCATGTCATGATGCATTACGAATTTACACGAATCCTTCTGTGCTTGATCTCCCTCTGGACCACTCCCAAACGCTCCCTAATCTCGGCTTCGGTCATCTCGGAAGGCCGCTTGGGAACACGGCACGGCTCGATGTTCACAGCCGTGATGCAAACATCATCGTCGTCCTCTTCCTCCTTCAAAGCCAGGACCCCATTCGGTCCACCAGAGGAGCCGCTGGGCTCCGCAACCTCATGAGCCTCCTGGGGCTCATCACTGGCCTCGACCTCGCCGCCCTCTTCAGCAGCTTCAGCACCCACGTCCATGTCCTCATCATCATCATCGGAAATGCCCAGCCGCTCGAGCACGTCAGCCGCCCGACGGACCAACTCGACAGTGCTCCCCGCCAGTGGCCTAGCCACGGGTCTTGTTGGCACGTCCACGGCCTCCTCATCGTCGTCCTCCACGGCCGCGGATCCCAAAGATGATCTGCTTGAGGCCCCATGTTGAAGGCCGATTGACTCGCGGATGGTGGCCCAAGTGCCCACCATTTCCTGCAAGCACAAGAGAACATCCCTATATGTGCACTGGTGCTACAAAGCAGCTGCTCAACCACTCACGGTGTCCTCAACATCTTCCACTCTGAAGCCCAGCAAGGTGGCAACCATGCACTGCAGGCTGGAGTCCTGATATAACATTGGGAATACGGCCAATGCTGCAGGAAAGTGTCCTACCGAATTTGCCCTGCTGTCCTGGGGGGGCTTTGGCTTGTAAATCCTGGCCTTGACAAGCTGGAGGAGCCGCCTCAAACTCCAGGCTTGGTTGTACAGGATGGTAGCGTCCTTCTGAACCCGGCACATGGAGTAAAACTCATGAACTTCAGTCAAGACTGTGTCGATGGTGGGCAGTTTAAGATTGCTCTCGTACATCTTGAGGAGGTACGGCTGCAAGACTGCTTCGTTGAGCCTCGCATTCGCGATGCTCTTATTGCACGGAGAGTTCTCCGGCTCACCATCGGAACGACACACCAAAGTCTGCGAGTGTCGCATGCGCTCGCGCACGGCCGGGATCGCATCCCACGCCTCGCGAATGGTCGTGTAAGCCATCCTGGATAGCACACACAGCAAATGATCAACAAAACTCAAAATTCGCCCTGTGAGCCATACACAGTTCAAAGAGCATCTGTCCCAGACAATCCTAGCTCACAACAGTGCGTCTGACCACAACTGGCACGGCAATTTGATGGGAGGGCGCACCAGCTTGGATCGAAGTGGGCTTCCATCTGTCTTTCACCATGAAACGTCATGGCACGCTCGTGCTACAAGGAGGCCCAGACTAAAGAAGGCTCATTCGAGCTTCAGAGCTGCACCTCGTAGCCTGCAACCCTAAGTACCCGTATCGCAGCTCGACTGCTTATTCTCGAAGCCGCTTTACAACCCGAGTGTGCGCATTACCCTATAACCCCCTACATCGACGATGTCTGGAGCCAGCTTTCCTGGCGACGTGCCTCGGAATGGGTGAGGCAAGGGTTCGAGATTTCTACAATAAATACACAGCAGACACTTGACCCTAGAAAGGGACATAGTCATACAAGCCGTCCGTTGTAAGTACCTGCTTTACTCAGGAAAAACCTCCGAACGCCTATTTCAACACCAGACCTGGAATTTCAACACCCACCCCCAAGTTATAACAATCCAAACAGAATAGTTCAATCTAGGCCGGGCTGGGGGTAGCAGGAAGTTCTTGCTCTTACACCGTTTTGGAGTTGAGTTGCTTCAGGTTGGATAGTTTGTTCGATTCGCCGTCCTTTTGATTATATGGCTATCATAAAGCAGCACGTCTATGCTGCAAGTACCACTTCCATCTTGGCAGGTTCAGCCCCTTTTCCATGTGTCGTAGCCTTTCGCCTTTGTGTTAGGTGTGGCTGCTTCGGGCGACCGGACTCCTTTCGCGAATCCAAAGTGTGCCTTAAGCTGCCCAAATCGAGTTTTTGTAGCATCCCCATAAAGTCCTTCAAAAAAGGTCAGGAGCCTACAAGAAGTAGGTCGATGTAGTTCAATGACTTTGAGCTCGAAGAGCATCCCTAGACCGTTCTGGGCGCACTTGAAGGAAGACCTCCGACTCGAAAGTTTTTAGCCAAGCGTTACCACAGGGTTTATTAGGGTTTTAGGATTTTAAATTTTAAGGTTTAGGGTTTTAAGGTTTTAGGGTTATAGTTTCAGCCGAGCATTACCATGAAATAGAAGGATGCTCCTCTGCGCGAAATCCCTGGTTACCGTCGAAGCCGGTCTCGAGGTCCTTGAAGTCCAGCAGAAAATAGGGTCGTGGCCTTTAATTTTTGGTTTGAGAGTTTGCAAGGCATGTACAAAGACAGACCATAAGCGTGTATTATTGAACTGCTACTTTCAGACCCCGGAGTACTGACCGGCCCTTTTAAATCCGATAATAAAGCTAAATATGTAGACAATATCAAAAAATAAACAAACCTATATATATATATATGTATAATAGATGCATAGAACTATCTCGATAACTTATCTATATAACAGCTTTTCTTCCGGTGGCTGTCGCGCTTCTAGGGGGCTTCACGGGAAAGTTTAGCACTCGGCCTGATTCGTGTCCAGGCCTCCAGCTTAAGGCCTTTGATCTTAGTCTCCTAGATGTTTCAGGGTTTATAGGGTTTCGGGTTTAGGGGTGGTAAAGCTAAATGGGTTTAGGGTTTCGGGTTTAAGGGGTGGTAAAGGCCGAAAATGAAACTCCAAAGCCAAGACATGATGCTGGCCAGTATAAGCCAGCAAAGTCATGCTTCTGCTACCTCAGGAGAATCAAAGGTGAGTTGTCCTCAGAAGGCTGTGCTTTATAAACCCTAAACCCTAAACCCTAACACCCTAACACCCTAACACCCTAACGCCCTAACGCCCTAACACCCTAACACCCTAACACCCTAAGCCCTAAGCCCTATAAACCCTATAAACCTTATAAACCCTATAAACCCTATAAGCCCTATAAGGTAAACCCTAAACCCCAAAGCTCCCAGTCCTCACGCCCCTACGGCTTCACGGGGTATCTCGAACCCCCCGGGGAGCCATAAAAATTCCGGGCCCGTGCTTTTCAAGGCCTTTTAGGGCCTAAAAGGCCATCAAGCACGGCCCGGATTTTATGGCTCCGGGGTTCAAGTTTAGGGGTTCGGTTGGCGCGCCTTCCTGCGGAAACCTCGATCTGCTATCCATGCCTGCCCCGGGGATCCAGCACCGAAGACTGTGGCTTGATGGGCGAGTCGTGAACTACTGTTTAGGGCTAGAGTTTAAGGTCTCAGGCTGGCTACTGACATACCTGCACTCAAAATCCCGCTTAGACCAGCGAGGCCTATCCTCGAATTCGCAAACCCTATCAACCCCTCAACCCAGAAGAACCGCGAAACTCTCCCCCTGATAGCCCTTAATCCAAAACCCTGGGTTTCCTATTTGGTTTGCGGCTTCAGGGATTTTCGGCCTTTGTAGCTCCAGGCCCTTTGGAGGTTTACAAGCAGACCCTCATTTCCTAATCGTACCCCCTAAACCCTAGGTCCTAATACCTAAACCCCTAAGCCCTAATACCCTAAACCCTAATGCCCCCAAACCCCAACACTCCAGAACCCTAAACCCTAAACCCCTATAGTACCCGAATACCCTTAAACCCCAAACCCTAAACCCTAATAGCCCTAAACCCTAAACCCTAGTACCCTCAATTCGCAGATCCTAAGCTCTGCGCAGGCCCAGCTGCACATCCGGAGAGGAGCTGCGGGCCGGTACTGTGCCCTTCTTAGTAGCTGAATGGCTACAAGGGTTCCGCTAGAGGGATCTAGGGTTTAGGGGTATCAGGGTTTAGGGTTTAGGGATTAGGGTTTTTAGGGTTTAGGGTTTAGGCATCGAATAAAGGTTTAGGAATCCCCTATAACGCTGAACGTGTACACTTTTTTGGGTTTATGAACTCAGAAACTAAGCCTTGCTTGGTGGATTATAAGAAACATTGGCAGCTATCATCGGTGTCGGCTTTGTGGTGGGTAGATGTAGAGATGTAAGGGTAAAAGTAAGATATCAGCTTAGTTGCTTACAACCTCCAGTACAGTACTTTGATTGCAGGTCGAAGGGCCTACATGCCAAATCGAGACAGTTCAAGCCCAAAGCCCAGCTATGCCTACCCATGCGGCTCATGTGCGGGACTAGGGCTTTCTTAGACTTCATCTTTATCCTTCAGTCCGATATATGCCGCATCGCCAACTAGACCCAAATGGTCCTTGGTGTTTTAGCGTCCATCTTGCACTACTGTGGCCTGATTTTTGGAAGGCTCCTGTTATAAATGATGGTATGCGGCTTCCGCGAACATCCCTACATTGTTTGTTGGGGCCCAAAGTGACAAGATGGTAATAGATATGAAGCCTCTTGGCAACAAAGGAATGAATACTTCTGGTTGTCTGTCTGTCTGTCTGTCTGTCCGTCTGTCTGTCTGTACATGTGTAGGTATAGGTATAGCTATTGGTATAGGCGTAGGTGTAGGTGTAGGGGGGTGTGTGTATGCATATGTGTATGTGTGTATGTATGTACGTACGCACGTACGTACGTAGGTAGGTAGGTATGTATGTATGTTATTATATATATATATATTGCTTCTTTATTTATTCATACATACACATAAATATAAATAGAAATAGATATATAACTATAAATATAAATATAGATATACATATAAACATAAATATAAATACAAATGTAAATATAAATAAAAGAATATAAATATAAATAAACATACATATATATATATATATATATATCAACACACGAAAACGAAGTCCCGTCTCAGGTGCCGGCGCTGCGGCCCCGCCGCGGGCCGCTCCCGGCGGCCATGGATCTGGAGCTGCAGGCGGGCGGGCGCGTTTAGGGATAGGGTACTAGAAGGGTTCCTTTAAAGGGATCTATAGGGTCTATAGGAGTTTTGGGCTCCTTTAAGGTATGTTTAGGGTTTAGGATTTAGGGGTTTATGGGGATTCAGGGTTTAGGGTCTATAGGGGTTTAGGGTTTAGGGTCTATAGGGGTTTGGGGATGTTGCAGGCCGGGGGGGGGGGGGGGGGGGGCGTTTTTGCTATAGCGATTTAGGGTTTAGGGGCTCCTTTAAAGGGTACTATAAGGGTTCCTTTAAAGGGATCTATAAGGGTTTAGGGATTTAAGGTTTAGGGTTATAAGGTTGTAGGGCTTTAGGGGTTTAGGGTTATAGGGGTTTAGGTTTGTGGTTTCGGTTTCGGGTGTGGTAGGTTTGAGGTCTCGGTTTCGGGCTTGAGAGCTTTTCGGTCTGTAGTCTAAGACTAAGAGTCTTAAGGTTATAGGGATGGGGTTTGGGGGGGTTGAGGGGAGGTTGCGGTTCCGCGTTTTTTGGTTTGGGGTCTGCTGTATGATATAGAACTATGGTGTGGCATGGTGTAACTGGGGTTAGGAGGTTATACAAAGTGTACAGAGGTTCTGTAAAGGTCATTGACGGGCCTGAGATTTAGGGTTTAAGAAGTTCTGGGTCTAGACGTTTTGATGCAGCATCCATCAGACTCTGAATTGTTCGGTTTGGAACCACGGACGGTTTGAGTTGAACAAAGCCTGAGTGCCGGCAACATGTAGGTGTCTCGTGCCATTTCGATCAACAGCGCTTCCTCTCACTGATTGTGCTTGTTTTCCTCATCGCACACCTTTCGAGACTTACAAGACACACCATCCAATTGCAGAGGTTGGTGCTTGTTTGGTCCTTCTTCGCTGCCATAACAAGAATCCTGCTGTTAGTAGTAAGAGCTGCATCCGCTGCACTCTCATACCGTAGTATCTAGCATTGCTAGCATCATAAAAACCTGAAAACAGGGGTCCATTGCTTTCTGAAGCGTCTGTGTTGCTGACGAGATAGACGACCTCGCCGCGCAGATACCTGGCGTCGGAGGCCTCCCCATGTGTCAAAGCTCCCGCAAAGATCCCTCCACAAGGGTTCCTTTGACGGCTCCTTCAGGGGTTCCTTTAGGAGCTCATTTTGGTTCCTTTCAAGCGCTTTTTGAGGGGTTCCTTTGAAGAGGGTGAGGGCCGCCCGGACAGAGAAC